TAGATGAAATGTTTGAGATAAGAAGGTGACCCTGCATCTCTTTATGAGTTTTGAAATGTCAAAAATAGTAAGGATATTTTAACTTTGATAATTGTTACGCACAAAAAAAAAAAATAAAATAAAAAAAAATAAAAATAATAATAATAATAATAATAAGGATAGCAGGATCTTAAAGGAAGATAGACACGAAGTCGGGTGGAAAAGGAAAAAAAAATTGCGTTCAAGTCGGTTGGTCAGGTCGGTTGGTCCTCGGTCGGATGGTCAGGTGCGTTGGTTAGCAGTCAGATAGGCAGGTCGGAAGATCCTTGGTCGGTTGGTCTGGTCGGTTGGTCCTCGGTCTGATGATCAGGTCGGTTGGTTAGCGGTCGGATTGGCAGGTCGGAAGGTCCTCGGTCAGTTGGTATGGTCGGTCGGTCCTCGGTCAGATAGTTAGCGGTCGGACAGACAGGTTTGATGGTCAGCAGGTCGGACAGACAGGTCTGATGGTCTGCGGTCGGATAAAGTAGGTCGGCTGGTCTGCGGTCGGTCTTTTGGTGTAGCGATTGGTCTCTGGATTGGTCGGTTGGGCTATTTGAGTTCTGGAACTGGTTGAGGCATTTGACGAGGCGGTTGATGTAACCGACCAAACGATGTTTCAAAACGTTTCGTCTTGGGCAGTTGACGGTGGTTGCTGGCGACGGTTCCAAAACGTCTTTTCAAGACAGTACAAAGGTAGATTAAGGGCTAAATTGTCATTTTCGAAATGAGAGGTTGGATATACTTTTCAAGTGGCAGATCCGTACAATCTCGTCTTTTCAAGCCAGTACAAAGATAGGTTAAGGACTAAATTGTCATTTTCGAAATGAGGGACATGATAGACTTTTCAAGTGACAGATCCGTAAAAACTCGTGTTTATAAGATATAATATATTGAACTCATATATGCATATATAGATAGTCGTGTACTAATTAAGCAACCGATGAGTCGCATTTAATAAAAAAGTGTATGTAATAATTATTTAAGATACCAATGAGTCGCATGTCGTGTGTAATAATTTAGGATGAAAATCAAAGAGTTTTTGTATTGAAATGGAGTATAAACTTTTTTTATGCTATATATATATATACATATATACAACAGAGAAGAACAAGGTTTTCACTGCACTAGAAGCTTCCCAGCGATGACATAAATGATTGAGAGAGCTTGTCAGCAGGTGGAGCTAAGCTAGTACAACGTGAACTTGTTAGGTATTTAATTAAATAGGTCAAAGAGTAATAAATTATATGTGTGATATTTTATTTTATTCTGTACATGTGAATTTATGTTTTATGTGCAAAATTTCTCCGTTTCTAATTTGGTTTGCGAAATTCGCTTTGAGAAAATCGCATGCTACGCGAGCCTCGAATTTGATTCCGCATATTTTGTGTTTCGAGATTTCTCCGTATTTCACATTTCGCCAAAAGTATTTTCCAACAGAACTTACCACCGCGATGAACCCCGGCAGCAAGCTCAGGCGTTGAAACCACACTGTTAGCATTCATAACCCTTTCTTCATTCCCTGTTAGCATAAGCTTATGACGTGATTTAATTAGTTTCATTTCCTTACGGCTATATTTTGATCATTCCTACTCGAATGATTTCATTTCCAGCTTTGGAATGCCGTTCTCAAAGTAATGTACCTTTACATCGCAACGAACATGTTGTCTTCCCGGAAGGGAAAGTTACGGAGAATCTTTCTATTGTGATAGCGAGGGGCTTCGTGTACGACGAGAAAGGCTTTGCGCAGATGAAGATGGTGTCCGCATTGTTTGTGCAGATGGATGAAGCTGTGAAGAAGACAAGGGAGAATGGGGAGGGCGGAAGCGGAAGCGGAAGCGGAAGCGGCGTCTGTAAAATACTTTTCGTTATAGAATTGTTAATTTCTGAAACAAAACCCTAAGTTTTTGGGTAATTATGATCTTTGTTTTGCCTTTTAATTTGTAAAAATTTATTTCACTCTTTACTTTTTGTAGTTTACATTTATGAAATAGCCTAAGGTAAATATTCATATTGCAAATAAAAGATTTTTCTGAATTCAAAAATTAATTTTATTTTCTGTTTTAAAATTTTATAATTAAATTCCACTTTATCGTTTCATATTTTCAAAATTCTAACTATATCATTGTTGGAATTTTTTTAATTATATATATATATATAAATTTTTATTTAATAATAACAAAAAGATTTTTAGTTAATGGTGGATGATGCTGTACTATTGTGTTTTTATGTATTAATCTAAAATGAATGCATTTTGGTGATTCTTCCTCTCTGCTTTAGAGTTTATTTTCTTTATAATTTTATAGGTGTTTTATGTAATTTTTTTTTTTTATGTTATTTAAAGCATAATCGTTTTATTATTTTATATCTGTGATGCTTGGTAAAAAATTTAATTATTTATTTTTATGATCTCAAATAATTGGTTAAGAATTAAAAATTCAAAAATAATCCCCTTTACTTTCTTATATTATGATGTTTGGTGGATAAAAATGAGTCAAGAATTTTCTCTTTATGACTTTATATTCCGAATATTTGGTTGAAAAAAATTATTAGCTAATAATTATCATATTTTATTAGTGTCTTGTAATACTAATAAAATGACATTTGTACAATTTTTTTTATAAATATAAAAATATTTTTAATATTAAATATAATGATGCAAAAGATAAATATGACCTAGAGGGAGATGTAGGGAATATATTTTGTACATTTAGACTATAAAAGATGGGAGGAAATGAGTACTATATTAAACAATTATAAATTAAAATTACTAAAATATATATTTAATATTAGAACACATTAAATTTGTATAATTAAAAATATAGTTACTATTAATATTATAAAAAAATATATTTACACATTTTTAAAAATAGATATTTTATTTATATAAGAATAAAAATATTTATATAAATAAATTTATAACAAAATAATTACGTATTTTGTTATATTTACAATAAGAAGTAAAATAAATGTTTCGGTATTTAATATATATAATTCTAAACCACCCCCAAAATAAATAATAATTATGTTTGCTTTTGTGGTTATTATTATTATTATTTATTTTGTTTATTGTTACAACAAATAATATATTTGCATTAGAGCCTAATATAAAAAATAAAAAATTAATAAATTATTAATCTTACTCTTATATTTATATAAAAAAATTTAATATATATAATACATGATAGGGAGATATGCAATACATAATTATCTACAAAGACTAACATCTAAACTAATATTATATGTCATAATTCCGAATAATAAATTCAACAATCAATTTCAATACAAAGAAAATTAATATATATCAATGCAATAGGTTTATATTTTATATTTTTCCCACATTTTTAATTGATTATCTTATACGGTATATATATTTCTTAAAAAAAAAAAAAAAAGTGAATCATACATTTAATTATTTATAAATAATTATAATATTATTAAAAAATTTTAAATAAATTCATATACATTATAAATATTACAATTTTCTTTTTTATTGGACCGTGTGCATAGCACGGGACTTACGCTAGTATTGATATTAATCTATGATTATTAATTTTTTAAAAAAAAAAAGATAAACTGAAATGGAATAAACAAAAATAGTAAAAATAATAATTTTAATTAAGACAGAAGTACAATTTTGAATCTTGCATTGTACATATTGAAAATCATGATGGATAAGAAAATAGTTGATCAAATGAACACTTTGTTTGTTAATTTTGTTTTGAAATTTTGAATAATAAAATTTTGAATTTGAATTTTTTTTTTATGTGATATAAAATTTTAAATATAAAATTAATTTTTAATATAATATAAAAAATAAAAAATACTCTCTCGGTCCCGGTTCAATTGAAATTTTTCATTAGTGATACTTAGTTAATAATAGTGAATTATGATATTATTTTTATGTAATTAATAATATTGATAGTTAAAATAAATTTAATAATATGCTATTAAAGAAATTAGTTTATGTATTTAAATATTTTAAAAATTATATCGCAATAAAAAATATATGCAATATAAATATTATTTTGTAGAAAATAATATTTTTTATAATATAAGTAAACAAATATGTTTATTTATTTATAATTCATAATAAATTAATTTTATAAAAGATATAGAGTTTTAAATATAGATAAAAATATTTGTTCTTTTATAAGAGCATGAATATGGTGCTGAAAGAAATAATTTCAGTACCATGCCGAGGATTTGATTTATATTCTAATACTCTTTTGTCCCACTTTTCATGTTCACCTTTCCATTTTCGTCATTGTCATTTTTTTTTTTAAAAAATAATTATACACTTTAATATTATTTTAAAAAATTAATTTATAATTTTTTTTTAATTTTAATTATACTAATTCGCTATCTTTATGTTAATCTTAATTTATAATTATTTTTATTATACGATAATCATTTTCACTAATATATTTTTAATTATTTACTAATTATACCCCTTCTAAATTTTCGTGTCTGCAGTAAAACAGACAAAATATCCGGGACGGAGGGAGTATATTTTAATTTAGTAAATTTTATAAATATAATTGTTATAATACTGACAAAAATAAAAAAGGTGTAAATTAAGGGTGTGTTTGTTTGGAGGTTTGATTTTGAGTTGAGATTTGAATATTAAAAATTTTGAATTTAAATAGTTGTATGATATGATATAAATAGGTGTTGATGTGATGTTTTGAATGTAAAATTGATTTTTAATATAATATAAAAATAAAAAATAGGTGTTTAATTTGATATTTTTTTTAAAAAAAAATTAAATAAATAATATATTTAAAATCCAATTCCCAAACAAAGACACTCTTAGATGAAATGGGCAGTATTTGTTTTGATATTTTGTTGTAATAAAAACATAAAATAAATAGTAAAAATTGTAGCAAATGTCCAAAGAAAAAAAAAAAAAAAAGAAAAAAATTAAAGCTATTTTACAACGTTTCGATAAATTATTTTTTTATAAAATCTCGGGGAGGAAAACCCTGGCGACGTCGTCGTTTTAAAGGGCTTTTAAACTCCTTTGTGGATTCGACTTTCAAGACGCGCAGTCAGTCTCTCGAACAACATCGCCCGCCCTACCGAAGATTTCCGCCCGCAATCACGAAGGTCGCTTTGCCTGTCGGCCGCCGATGTTCTACAGAGGGTAAGGGAACCCTATCTCATTTATTTGTGTGTTTTTTTCGGAGATACTTGTTTTCTTGAAATTTGTGTTATTGAATGTTAGGGGTATTCTTGATCTTCAGATTGTGCTGTTGATAATTGATTTATGCATGGGATTAGGATTTTTCTGTTGAACGTTTCGCGTTGCTCTATTGTGTTAAATTGTTAGTTGACGCTGCCGAGGCGTTTTCCTGCGTTCCTTACGTTTTTCCTGGATGTATTGCTATCGCCTTCTTTTTTTAGCGAGATTTTGATCTGGCTGCTGTAGATTTTCCTTCGTTTATGTCGTTGATTTTGCCTTTAGTTTTTGTTGGAAAATTGCACTTGATAGCTTGTGATATTTGTGTGTTTTCTGTAATTTTATTTTGGAATTTAATTTTGTTGCCCTAAGGAAGAAAAAATTTGATGTGTGTGTTGTTTTATGGATATGCATTTTCATTTGGTTGTGGAAATGGGGTTTGGATCATAGCTGTTTTGATATCCACTTGGTATCCATTCTTATTTCAGGAAATTGAATTGTTCTTATGGTAGCTTACTATTGCTTACTAATCTGTATTTATTTTTTTATTTTTTGGTATTTCCAATATAGATATGTATGCCCAAGCAGTAGCTGCCGCCTTCTTTTGAATTTGGATCTGTTTATTAAATCATTTGATACTGGACTGCTCTTGCATACACATTGTTCGCATAATCAATGATTTTGTGTTTGCTATCGAAAATAGAACTGGTTTGCTGACGTAATTGATTTGCTTGTTTGTTTTTATGCAATAAAGGAAGTATGGGGATTCTGGAGATGCTCGCGAAATGGGCTTGAAACGGCAGCGTTTAATGGATCAGGGGCCATCATATTTCGGTACTCCTGGTCCAAGTTATATATACAATGCCCCACCTCCGCCACCAGCTCCTGCATATTCTTATGTTCCCCCTCCATTTCCTGTTGTCCGACTTCGTGGCCTCCCTTATGATTGCGCGGAGGCTGAGATAGTTGATTTCTTCCATGGCCTAGATGTAATTGACATCCTCTTTGTTCATAAAGGTGGAAAGTTCAGCGGAGAGGCTTATTGTGTTTTGGGATATCCACTTCAGATTGATTTTGCTTTACAAAGGAATAGGCAAAACATTGGCAGGAGATACGTAGAGGTTTTCCGAAGCAGAAAAGATGAGTATTATAAAGCCATAGCTAATGAAGTTTTAGATGCTCCTAGCAGTTCGCCTCGCCATGTTCCTTTGAGGGCTAGATCTGCTGATGAGAATAGGGACTTGGCTGAGTTTAAAGGACTATTGCGGTTGAGGGGTTTGCCGTACTCCGCCACCAGAGAGGATATACTAAACTTCTTTAAGGATTTTGAACTATCGGAGAACAAAATTCATTTAATAGCTAATGCTGAGGGCAGGCCTGCTGGGGAAGCAATTGTAGAGTTTGCGACTCCCGAGGATTCACGAGCTGCAATGTCTAAGGACAGAATGACCTTGGGCTATCGTTATATAGAGCTTTTTCCTGCATCACCGGAAGAGTTAGAAGAAGCAGCTTCGAGGGGACGGTGACTATCTCTTACTCTCGTGTTCTGTGCATTGCATTGTTGCTATGGGTGTGAATTTTTCACTGTGCAATTTTTTGTTGGAACTATTTCTTCACTGTTCGGATCTTCTGCTGTTCTGCATCGTACTAATCCCATTATCTTATATGTGCCTTGCTATCCTTTTGGGTTACAGATCGTATATTTATAGTCACTTCTTTGCTTCCTCCTCTCCACTTCTTCCTTATTGCCACGTTTCATGATTTTTTATTAAATTTTTGCTAACATGTATGGTCACTTGGTGATGCACAATACGAATTATACACGAGAGGAAATCGTATCTCAATAGCTTTATGTAATTTTGTTTCAGTCGAAACATAGTTATGTTATAAACATGCCCATTCAGCAGTTCTTTGGATATTTATTTGATAGATTTGTATGTGTATGTATATTCTGTGAATCAGATATATAGCAAGTGACTGCCTGAAGTATCTAACCTCGAAATTATCGATATGCTAGTTTTTCTGCTATTACGATATGTCAATGGATTATTCTAGTATCTCTGTAATTTGATTTTACATATTATCTAATCAACAATTTATAGTAGTAATTAAATAAAGTTGATTAATGCCCTATTCATTGAATTTAGTTTGAAGAATCCAGACCAATAGGCATTTTATCGGATGTCTTCGGGAAACAGCCATGGTATTGTGAGAAGGAACGAGATGAAATTCATTCTTAAAATTCATAGATCTTCATTCTAGTTCGTCGATTTTGATGTTTATGATCATCACAATTTTTGGCTATTAGGGCTTTAATATTGTTCAAATTTAGTTAAACAACCTGACCAGGATTTATCAATTACGAAAAGAGAACTTTTACAGCTCTTTGAAGGCTTACATATATCGTTGACTATGCATTTATAACATCCAAACCTAGTTATATCTTGCTATGCATTTAAGCCAGAATATGTTATGCTATAATTTCTGGACTATGTCATGAGAAATATCTTTTCTTTATCCATCTGAATCTATTGTGTTTCTTAATTTGTACGTGCGCATTATTCCCATACAATAGATTACCGAGGTGAAGGTTTAGGGTTCTTGTTTCATTTTGATGATGTGTCTTGTTATTCAACCTAGTATGTTAAAACTTACATTATTCATATGCTGCGGAAAAATATGTTCAACTCATGATTGTAACATTGTAATAAATAATTTACGCCATGTGAAGCTTGTGCAGCAGTATACATCTCCTTCTCCGGCATTCTAAATGTAATAATGAGAACTCCTTATTCAGGTTATTGTCAAAATCTTTCGAGGCAAAGGACGGATCGGAGCCTACACACGTCCTGCGGATGAGGGGGCTGCCATTCTCAGCTGGCAAGGATGACATAATCGAGTTCTTCAAAAATTTCAGTTTATCTGAAGAGGCTATCCACATTATGTTCAGCTACGAGGGACGGCCCACAGGAGAAGCATTCGTTGAATTCACGAATGCTGATGACGCCAAAGCAGCACTGGCCAAGGATCGGATGACCCTCGGCAGCCGCTACATAGAGTTGTTCCCATCAACAATCGACGAGCTCAACGAAGCCGGCTCGAGGGGGCGGTGAGACCTCTCTACCCCTACAACCCCACCCCCACCCCAGGAGCTTTTGCTGCTATACATATATATATATATATATATGATGTTTTAGGTTTGAGGTGGTTTGTGCAATCCAGTGTTGGTGGCTGTATCTGTTTAGCAGAGAAGAGTATTGGTAGTGTGTCGAGGGGTAATGTTGTCTTTTTACCACTGGAATACACAAACAAACTTGTTTGCATATTATTGCAACCTTGGATAGAATATGTATGCTGCTGCTGCCTGCCTGCCTGCCATTTCAGATATATTCCCCTGCTGTTGCTGGATGTATTTCTGGCTGTTGATGTCTCTCTCTCTCTCTTTTGTTTTTCTAATGGACGGTTCTGATATGGTTATATATTTTAGTAAAGAAATCCAATAATTTCAACTGGACTGACTGTTAATCCCTTGCTTGAGAGAAGTAAAATAATAATAATAATAATACTTCTTTCGTATTTATTTTTTCTTTTTCATTTTAGTCTGTTCTGTAACAAAGTATCCATTTTCTCTTTTAGTAGCTGTACTATCTACCTAATATTACCTTTATATCACACATGCTAGATTATTTTAGTCATTTTTATTTTATTTTTACGAGGGAGTAATAAAATGTATAAAATATACAGTGAGTTCGAGCCATGCTAATTCCACTACAATTTGAAGTTGATTTTTCAGGTGAATTTCCATTTTTGAACAACAAAGAATTTATCCCTAAAAACAAGAGTGTTAGGAAAAAGTTTTTTTTAAAGAACTTTTTAGCTTATTATGTTTGATAAATTAATTTTTTGAAACAGTTTTTTGAACCAAAAAAATTTACTTATTGAAAAACTATTTTTTTACTTTAATTTTATTTATTCTTTATTTATCTTCAAAAAAATTAATTATATATTTCATATGTATAAATATAATTTTATTTTAGTATTTATTAATTATTTTTAATATATTTAATTTAGTAAATTATAATTTTATTTTTATAAATTTAAAATAATTATTATACTTAATTATTATATATAAATTATTTTATTCGTAAGATAAATAAATCTTTAAAATTAAATTAAATAAAAAAGACAAATATAATTAAGTTATTTATATATTTTTATTATATAAAATTTTACATTAAAAATTAATAAACAATAATTAACATAATAAAAGTATATGTATTTATATATTTTTATTATATAAAATTTTACATTAAAAATTAATAAACAATAATTAACATAATAAAAGTATATATACATAAGACTTATTATTTCATACTTTACACAATTCAATAATTTTTTTTGTTTATAATAAAAATATGTTTCTCAAATTTAAAAAATAAAAATAAATATTTTAATTTATTATTTTATATTTTCCACAATTCCAATAAAAAATTATTATTGTTTTTTAATAAAAATATTTTTCTCAAATTAAAAAATAAATGTAAATATTTTATAATATTTTTATAATTTTCAATAATTAATAACAAAAATTCTCATAATTTTTAATCAAAATGAACAAAATTAAATATATTAAAAAAAATAACATATCAATGTTCTTAATTACCATTTTACGTATAAATAGCTAATACCAACCGCTATTTTATCAAATGTTTTAATACAAACCGCTAATCGTATCGGCTGATCAAACCAGCTAATCGAATCAGTTGACAACTATCAGCTTACCATACATATATTCTTCTATTTAAAACCTTACTTGTCAATTTTATTTTATTTTTATTCTTTCATTTGGAATGTCTCAAGATTTGTTGTAGGTCTGTTTATTTATAAAATTTTACTTCTAATTTTATTATTACAATTTTTTTTCCCTAAAAACACATCAAATCAAATACCCAATTTTTATTTATTTTTGGAAAAATAGCAAAAAAACCCCTGTGGTTTCCTGAAATTGCTGAAAACTCCTCATGGTTCTAAAACTCCAAAAAACCTACTTGTGGTTTCCAAAATGTTGCAAAAAATCCCTCATCCGCTAGGATTTAACAGAGGTTGTATATCACGCGCCTGAAATGAGATTGTTGGTCCATAAAATGATATATTTATGTATAAAATTACTAAAATACCCTAATGACTATTTTTTACAACTTCTTCATTCTTCTTTTTCCTTATTCTTCTTTTTTCTCATTCACCTTTTTTTTAAATTTTAAATCCGCTAAACACAACATAAATTTTAAACCGATCCCAAATTTATCACAATTAATTGACCAGACATAGAGATGGAGATGAGAATGCGTAAGTTGTTATTCACTGTCGATTTCTCCTTATGTTTTACCAAACCCAGAAATACTTCTTCTTCTGTTTTTACCAAACCCAGAAATCTAAAAATTCAATTTGACATCAAGATTTGAAGTCAATCTAAAAAGAAAGAAAGAATTTGCTGCTGGTTGCAACCGTGTATGAAAGAATTAGGGAGAGTGTGCAACGTTTTAAAAACCACAAGTAGGTTTTTTGGAGTTTTAGGACTACAGGGGGGTTTTCAGCAAATTCGGTAAACCACGGGGGAGTTTTTTGTTGTTTTCTTTTATTTTATTACACTAAAATTTAATTTTACATTCAAAAATCACATCAATACATATTTATATCACATTAAACAACTATTTCAATTCAAAATTTTATTATTCAAAATCAAAATTCAAAACCAAAACCTCACAAGTAAACACTTTTTTAGTATATTTGAATATACTTACACATTATAATTATTCTCAAATTCATGGAATGAATTAAGGTGCTGATTTTTTTTTCTAACGGCAATTGGATTAAAATTCCTCTCTCTATTTTGGTATTTAAGTTCAGTCCTCACCCACACTTTACACACACTGCACTCCCACTTTTTAATAATTATTAACCTTAACTCCCTACTCCAAAGCTCAACTACAATATTGCCCTCATCTCTATTCAAAATTTATTTTATCATTTCAAATATTCCTCTCTCCTCGTTAGGTTATTCTCGCGCAAAGCAGCTTCTGTCCAGCCTTTTGTTTCTTTCGCGCATGATCGATGGCATTGTCGAATTCAAATTTTAATCTTAAGGTTTATTTTGCACAAGAAAAACACTGGTAAGGAAAAGTTTCGATGTCAAATGTTCTTTTGTTGTGATAATTTTTTTGGTTCATTACAGTGGTGTTGTTAGGGCTTATGATCGATCATACCCATGTTCCACTAAAGACGAAGATTGAAACTAAGGTATGATCGATTATCATCACTATTATTTCACTAATCCTTTTGTGATTGTGCTTTGTTCGAAATTATTTGTGTAGTATGTGGTACATTTTTTTACAGTATAGGACAGTGTGTATAGAAAAAAATTTTAAGGGGCTGATGCGATTTAATGGTAGTATGTGGGCATTTTCACAGAAAATCTTTATCTGGTGAAGTATACCTATATTTATTAATCTTATACTTATGTTGTCTGATATTGTACGCGTTATTTCTTTGAAGATGCCCTTGTTTGGTTTATATGTACTACGACTACTCACGTATGAACCTTGGTATATATTCCATGTGCTTTTAAATTTGATCGTTCATAAAATCTTGTTGCTATGCAGTCATGTCTGCCGAAAATAATGAAAATTTGGAATGGTTTCTTTTGGAGGTTAAGGTTTTTTCTTCACGTTGATAGTTGGTATAATTAGAAAGAATACATTTTTGGATAGACACTCGAGACTTCTAAAACTTATCCTGCCGTATTTTTTGGAGCTACCACGCATACCGCCTCCGGCACTTAGTGGACAACTTTCGCACATAGGTATGTGTAGAATATATTTTTTATTTTTTTATGATATGTGCAACAATATAATTATATTTCTTATATGGAATACATATATATCCGATGAACCACAAGAAACGATAGACGTCTGTTTTCAACAAAGTTGCATACGAAGAACCCATTAATTCAATGCCGACGCATGATATGGATGTGGCACTGAACAACCTGCAAGCAAAGATAATTTCTTCTACAACATTTATCCAACCAGGTCGGCCAAAAAAAGACGGTTGAATCACAATAGGTAAAACAATCTAAAAAATATGGCCGTTGTGGTCGCCAAAGATATAACCGACGGAGTTGCAAAGATGATTTAACTTATGTATTTCTAATTTCCTCATATGACTGGAATTTTTTTTTTTTTTGGTTGATTTTACATTGAACAGAGATCTTTGTATGAAACCATTATTGAATTATTTCAAAATTAGATGATATTCCCATTATATTCCTCGTCGTACACAACTAATATGTGGGGATATGTATCATTATAAATTAATTGCAAATTAGTTGTATCCAGATGTATGTGAATTCACAAAAAAGTTAGTATATGACAGAGTTATTACAATGACAATATGAGTATGTTGTGATATTAAGAGAGTATATTTATTAGTACCAAAGGTATATATATCAAAATATGATGGTACATGTTTTTGGATGGAAGTATTTATATTCGTATAAAGGTATAATTATTGTAAACATGAGTATTTAAATATCTATTCAGAATTTGATTGTAATTTGATCAAACAATTACTAATGATTACATTACAACCATGTTCTTGAAAGTTAGTGTCCATTAGTGGATATTTCTAAAATGACTTATGAGATTACCTATTAATATATTCTAGGGTGGACGAGAATGTCCCTTAAGATATATATGTTATAATATATTATATGGTGAATCATAGTAATAGATATTTCGAAGTTACTGCATAACTGACGATGGATGATGTTCTCTGTATTGTGATTGACCGTGCAATCATTTGTGAAAGTAGGAAGAAATTCTCAATAAGAAGAAATATATTAGAAAGTATAGTAAGTAAATGTTACGCATTAGATATATTGGACCCTCTCATCCTATTGATGAACGTATTAATCATTGATGTGTACATAAAATGTATCCATTAGTACTTTCAGAACATTTGGCGAGTACACATTTTTTCAATATACATCGAATATCTATAAAATTCTGTGTAAAGTCTATTTTTCAATATGAGTATATTCAATCAATTTAGAAGTATGTAACTTGTAAAATAAATGAACAAATATCATCATTGTGGGTATGTGGCTTCCACTTAGGGGTCTCCCGACACCCAACCATGATTGTGGCTAGCTTAGACGGCTATGGTTTAAATAGATCATTACAATTTCATCGTATATTTGTGTCTATCAACTAATATTATTGAAACGATCATTTGGATCATTTGTTCATGTATTTAAGGGTGGATGAGAATGTTACATAAGATAGATTTGACCTAACATATGATATTGTGAATCATGGTAAGAGATATCGATGAATTAGTAAATAACTTATGAGATATGTCTCGGTTCCCATACTCTTTATTAGCTTTGTCCATATTAATCCATATCAGCATTTTGTAGACTATGAAAAGCATCCACAAAGAACAAATGTGTTAGAA